ATTTGACGAAGAATCTACTTCTTTTAGAGTTTTATTCAAGGAAAGTAAAATTTCAGAATATTTCTAGACTATAATGAGAAAAATAAGTATTTATTGGTTTGTAATTTTTTTTAAAAAAAGGAAGTGTTAGTGATACATGTGAAAATTCCAGTTATGTATATTAAAATTAATTATTTAAAATATTTGCAAAACATAAAACTAGTAAAGCCAATATTCTTTTAAAATACGGAAATATATATAATATAGAAATGATTAATTATTTATATACTGCGTTACTAATAAATTATAAACTACTAAAATGTACTAAAAGTAATATTTCTAATCCACAAAAAATTAAAATAAAATACCTAACAGCAGAAATATTTTATTCTCTGCAGTCTTGTGTTTTTTTATTTATATTAATTTATCTGTAAAATATTCTAATAAAGTTTCCTTGTGTTTTCATCATAGTTTATTAAACACGCTGCTGCCTTCTGGCTTTCGTTTTGAACACCGCGTTTCCATTTTACGACAGCGGCTGCGTGTGGACGGCAGCCGGTTACTATAATATCCCTCCAGCATCATGGCAGCGGCGGCGGATTGTCCCGGCACTGATGCGGCTTTCCCGGAGACCCGGGGCAGTTCGGCGACGGCAGGTGGCAGCGGGGTCCCGGGAGCTGCTGCCGGGGACAAACCCGTGTGTCTCATCGTGCTCGGCATGGCGGGCTCCGGGAAAACCACCTTCGTCCAGGTGAGTCCCGGTCCCTTAGCGGCTAACGCAGCTAGCCGCATGAGTTAGCTTTTTCAGAGAGACCGAAAGGTAAATAAACGAGCAGCGACAGGTACCGGTGTGTGAGCAGGTTTACATCAGAGGAGGAGGAAGAGCTTTTTTTATTATTTAATTTCAGCTTAAACTCAGGTACCAACCAGCTTTCTGTGGCACACCGAGGACCACACGAAGCCCCCAAACCGCACACAAACCCATTAGCATCAAATAAAATCAGTTTGATTTCAGTCAGGTAGGAGAGGCAGCAGAAGGTTAGTTATCCTGCAACAGCCTTTAATAAAATAACTTAAACGCTCAATAGAATATAAGTTAGGTCAGCAAGGTGTGGATTACATAGTCTTAGCACGTTTAAGTAGAAAACAATAGAATATAGAGTAGAGTCAAACTTTACTAAATTGTATATAACCCAATAAATGTTAAAATAGCTTAATAAAGTCCCTACATTAAACCGATGACACCCTGTGACTGATGTTTGCTGCTCCTTCAGTCTGAGCTCAGAGATGAAGATTTTTTAAGCAGCTGATGTTAACATCTTCAGCTTCCCTCCTCTTCCTCAGAACATTTCCTCCGTATGAACAGTGTTTCCTGTTTGTCTGCCTGTTGTGAAGTGAGCCGCAGTCACGAGTAATCTGAGTACTTTTCTGTTTCCCGCAGAGGCTGACGGCTCACCTGCATTCCCTCAAAGCGCCTCCATATGTCATCAACCTGGACCCCGCCGTCCACGAGGTCCCTTTCCCTGCAAACATCGGTAAGGATCCATCTGTTTGCTGGACGCTACTCATTTAAACCAAACTGATGCTGGATTTGCAGAAGTGCATTTAATATTTGCATTACACATCACAGCGAAAGCAAATAAACCTTC